AATAATAATAATAAAAATAAAAATAAAAATAAAAAACAAAAAAAGACCTCCACGTTCTCTGCATCTAACTGGTTGCCCCTTGGAACAATATTCAAAAGCCTAAACTATCATCATCTTCTTAATTCATCATAATTCATAACGATTAATCTCAAAACAAGCTTCATTAGCATTATAAATCCTCATATTATTAAAAGAACAATGCTTTGGACAGCTTCAATACATATATATAATGTCGAGCAAGACAAGATCTCCTCACTTCCATGTTATTGAATATATATAATCAAGAACATGTGTCCAGATTATTTTCCTCATCAAAAGATGATGATCACAGATCGTCAAAGGTTGATCGATCCAACACAACCATCTACCAGACACACACAAAATTAACCTTGAAGTTAAAATCTCTATTACATAGAAGAGCTTCCGGCGGATTTCTTAACATCAAGATAATCACAATAATCCCTAAAAGCAATTAAGCTATAAGGCGAAGTATCAAGGGCCAGCCATTGCTCAACCTCGAACTTCTTTTGTGAACAAGCCGCATGGACCCCTGTTGTCGTCACCTCCACGTAGTTAACGTACCAGCCATGGCCTGAACCTGACCCATCAGAGGTCAAGTTCAGGGCACACACAGGGGCATTCAAACATGGTCCTCTCCCACTGAAAATGTCCAAATTGCCCCTCTCGAAGTAGTTGTGGCCTGGCTCCATTAGCCCTCCCCATCTCTCAAGATCTGGGATCTGCAAGCCATAACCATAGGTGTCGTACAGTGTCACGCTTATGATGGAGTCCGTGCCTCCTTTGATGATGGATCCTGTTCTGACGTACATTGTGTATACGCAGTCTTCATCCTGCAAGAGCAAAAAAAAAAAACAAGGAAAAGACAAGAAAAGGGCAAGTGAATCAAGAATTATATTGATAAAAGTGATCAAAAGATGAAAAAGGATTTTGAGGGTGTAATGGGAGTTTAAGAGATCAGTAACTTACAGAAAATACTAGGGTGGAGATGGAAAGGAGGAGGAGGAGAGGGAGGAGGAGAAAGCGGAGTGACATTTTTTCCCCTTCTTTTGAGCTGTAAGAATGTGAAAACTTTGATTAGTTGGAAGTGGATTATATAGAGCATGTGAGCATGCGACTAGAGGATATCAATTTTAACCGAAGTGCACGGTTTTTTTTTTTTTTTTTATCGTGTAATTGCTTCAAAATTCTGTCAAATTAAATTAAATTTGTTTTTTTAGAAAGAGTTCCTTCCAAAATAATGTCATAATTGATAAATCCAGTATTTTTAAAATTAAAAGAAATTAGTTTTTTTTGGTAAGAAAAAAAAGAACAATTTTTAAAACAATTGTTTTTTACCAAATAAAAATACCTTTTTTTTTGCATTTACTAGATGCAATTAAAATTATTATTTCCAATCCAAATATTCGATTAGGACAAGTAAGAAATTGATGCAGCTTATCCTATTACATTGGATGTATGGCGTGTTGTTTTATGATGTTTTAGTGAGTTATTTTGGCTATGGGTTTATTACGAAGTTGTTTTGTGGTGTCTTAATTTAATTTAATGACAGTAGTAGTAAAATAATGATCCCTGTGATATACATCGCAAGAGATCTACGGTCATAAACTCTCTACACCTCATAAGAAAACTAAAAATTGTATCTGTAGTCGAAAATGAATATAATTTATGCAGATATACATAACTTTCCAAATTATTTATATATATATATATATATATATATATGTAGCGCCTAAAACTATTAAGACGGCCATTACCCTCGTAGAAGTCTAGCATATCAACATCAATATTGATAAATGCAAAACTATTAATTAATTCAAATAAACATAATTAACCAGTAAAAAAATTATCAAATTCAAATCCAATTATCTAGTAAACACCGGCAAATGTCAGATGCCAACATTGTAACAACATTTTTATGATCAGAGGAAATTTTGATCCAATTCCACATCCACCACATACAAACTACCAGACACCTCTTATTAGCACTATATAATAATAATAATAATAATAAAACTAAGAAGAACTTAAAGCAGCGGATGTTTTAGCTCGATCATCAGCAGGATAACCACAATAATTCCTAATAGCAGTTAACTCATAAGGTGAAGTATCGAGAGCCAGCCACTGCTCAATAGTAAATTTCATCTGTGAACAAGTCGCATGGACTCCTGTTTTGGTCACCTCCACGTAGTTAACATACCACCCATGACCTGACCCTGTCCCATCGGAGGTCAAGTTCAGGGCACACACCGGTGAACTCAAGCACGGCGCTCTTCCACTGAAAATGTCCAAATCGCCCCTCTCAAAGTAGTCGTGACCAGGCTCCATCAACCCTCCCCATGCTTCAATATTGGAGATCCCCACGTAGTCACCATACTTGTCGTAGAACCTCACGCTTATGATGGAGTCCGTGCCACCTTTGATGATGGACCCTGTTCTTATGTAGAGTGTGTACACGCAGTCTTCATCCTGCAAGAGATCAGAAAAAATGAATAGGAAACTGTCAAGAGGTAAAATAATTGAAGGGATGCAGATGGTATTATGTGGTTTTAAGAGGGCAACTTACAGAAAGGGCGATGACGGAGAAGGAGAGGAGGAGGAGGAGACAGAGGAGGAAAGTGTTGAGGGACATTTTTTTTTTGACTTCTTCTTGGCAGGGTGTGGATATGAGTAGGCTTGATTGGGTAGGTATGTAGTGATGCTTGGCTGGTATTGTCTATTTATTATTTCTGTCTAATTTTGCGGTGTGTTGCTCTGTAGTTGTCTCGTCAGATGTGAAGATTATTATTATTAGATTTTAGTTATGGATATTATTTATTGAAATAATATTTTATTTTTTAAATTAAATTTTTTAATATTTAATTAATTTAAAATTAAATTTTATAATTAAATTTATTTATTTTATCTTATGTTATTTCAGCTTTATAACTTAAAAACAATGTTTAAAACATTAATTTAAGTAGATTTAAATTATCTTTTGATCTTACTTTTAATAATATATTTTTTAATTTTATTATTTAATATTAAATTAATTAAGAGATAAAATTAAAAATTTAGGTTGGAGACTATATTTATGCACACACTAGTGCGTGTATATATATACATATGAAATTTCTTAACTTTTTCCATGTGAAATAATTATATATAACTTATATTCATATAAAATATTTTTTAATTTTTTATTTAAAATATTAAAATTGAAAATATATCTTTTTAATTTTTTCTAATTAACTTGAAATAGCCAATATAACTCAAGTTAATCCATATTACTTGAGAATTATCTCCTTAACCAAGTTTAGTAAACATGATCCGGATGATTAATTAGTTACAAGAATGTTCCCATAATGCTATTTTAATTCATATAATAAAGTAATATATGATCATAAATAACAATTAATTTATTTCCCAAAATAAGAAGGGGTAGGTCAGAATATTCGAAGTATAACTCTAATTGCACGTATTATTACCAACATTAAAGTAGAGGCTACCATTCACACATGGTGTCTGACATCAAAATCTTTCAAATAATAATAGGCATGGAAACGTTTCAGACGCTATTTATATTTATTTTTATGTTTTAAAAAAATTTAATTTTTTTTATTTTTTATTTTAAATAATATTAATATTTTTAAATTAATTTATTTTTTTAAATAAAAAAATATTATTTTAATATATTTTTAAATAAAAAAATATTTTAAAAAAATCACAACCACACCAGCATCAGACAAACGAACAAGGCATCTGTCCCTTCCGCCCTCTCAAAGTCAAGCAGTCAGCTCATTTGAAATTACTAGATTAGCCTTGCCAAGTGTCTATCAAAACAACGATGAAAAGTAACTCCTGTTATTATTGTTTTGGCTGGATCTTCTTTAAGTTTTTTTAGCAGAGAGAGAGAGAGAGAGTTTTGTGATTTGACAGAGATGAGCGGCAAATTGGTAGCAAAATGGTGCTAAGTGAAAGAAACAAGGCCTTGATTTAAGCTAATTGGTGGCAAATTGGTCACTATCACACTGCCTCTTGATCCTTAATTTAAGCTAATGGATGGAGAATTATATGATTTCATCAAGACCGTATGTATTAAAATTAATAAAAAAATACATATTTATTATGTCAAAACTTGAAATTTATATGTTAAGTAATTATTTAGGTTTTTTTCTTCTTATATTCTTCATGCACTAAAATTATAAATTATCAAAGGAAAACCCAAGAAGCTCCAACTTAATGGCTTTTGACACTAGGGTGTGGCCGTGTATCTCCTCCACACTCCAACTGTCGCAGTTACAAGGGCCCAAAACGAAACTTAAAACTCATTTGTAGATCAGGTCAATAAAAAGATTAATCATTATATCATTTTGCTTGCTTAAAATATATTGTTATTCTATTAGTTTTATTTTTAAAATCATTTTTAATATGTAAAATAAAAACCAAAAAGATTTAATTACCATCTGTTGTAACTTTTTTTTTCAAAGAATAAAAATAAATTTTTTAAAAAGAGTCAAGGGGTTTTAATAAAAATATTTTTTTTTTGAAAAAATCAAGGGATTTTAGAGCCCTCGACAACATGCCTGAGACTAAAAAAATGATTAGATACCCAAACTAGGTCATTAGATATCCAAACTAGGTCATTTGATATCAAATTTAGATGGGTTATATCGCAACTGAAATGAGATTAATATGTAATCTTGCACAAATAAAAATTATTAGGTCAAAAATAAATATGATAGCAAAGGAGATGCTACATTAGCATGCAAGAATCACAAAATTGGAACAAATAAATTCCTGAAGTTGGATCAAGATGCTATAGTTTGAAAAACTTTAAGTTAGGTTTAAAGGGCACAAAGGGAGCATTACTTGAAGATGTTGAAATGAGCATTCAATAAAAATGGATATTCCTATCAAAATGAAAGTTCTTGAGGGGTTTAAGTTACGGAGTAAGGAAATCAATGTTGTTTTTACTTTCAAGGTAAGCTCCTTAGGGGCATGTAAGGCTATTCTATCTCAAAAATGTTAGTCCAAATTCAAGTAGATGGCACAATGCTCATGAATGATGATGATTATTGTCGCACGTGTGCGGCATCATGACAATTATCCTCCATCCAGGAAATATGAAAATATGGATATATTTCTGGCAAATTATGAAGAGACAATGAATATGTTTCTTATTCATGAAAAATTAAATGAGAGTCGTCATCTATTATTCTGGTTACTAGGAACCCTAATTAGTCTCAAAGATCAGATACAAAGACTGTTGCATAAATAAAAAGTATTAACACCCCAAATACGTCCTACCTAAGGCAGACTGCATTGTTTTGTCTGATCAAATCTAATGTTTTGTTTTGTGATTTTCAATTGTTAGTTTGTTTAAGGTTCAAGACAAGCCCTCCTCAATAAGAAGGTTATTATCTTAAAATGCGGTTAAACCTAACCGTTCTATTGGTAAAAAAAATACATGAAATATTCAGAATATGCATTACGTGTAATGTTATACTCGCGAAAAACAAAATAAATTTTTTATTGTTTTTGAAATTTTAGCCAATGTTCTCTTAACTTTGATAAACCGGTTATTAAAGCCAAAATGCATGCTAAAATATTATTTTTGGTGTATGAAAAATATAATATGATTTTTTAGCTTTGAGACATTTGACCATATGCATAAAAATATTTTTTTTTCTTTTTTTACATTTTTTTATGTATTTGTGAAAGTTTTGACGAAAATCAGGTATTTTAATACCAAGTTTGTATTTTTACGGCATAAAAATACTACCCGATATTAATCAAAATTACATAAAATATGTAGAAAAATTATAAAAAAACAAATATGTTTGAATTTTTTTAAAAAATGAGCAGGGTCAGGCCCAAAATACATGGGCAGGGCTGGGCCAGACTTGGCTTAACTGCATGGGTTGGGCTTGGCCCAGCCCATATTAGCTGGTTACTGTACTCAAGCCCAACCCATATTAGCTGGTTACTGTGCATAAGAGGCATATAATAAAGTCAAACCATTAGTAAGTCATTTTAGAGTTTTTGTATGTATCTCTCATGTTCATGTAACTAGTAACAGAAGAGTAAAGCTCAACAACAGGAGTCACAAATGTATATTCTTTGGGGAAAGTGACGAGTCGAAAGCTTACAGATTATTTGATCTTATTTATCAGAAAATAATTATGAGTTAAGATGTTATTTTTGAAGAAGATTAAAGTTAGGATTGAGAGGCTTGTTATAAGAAAACAATTGTGGCTAATCTTAAGCGGTAAACAAATGAAGAAAAGGGAATAGACATTGGTGCTAATGAGGAGGAATTAGAAGCTAACAGCATTAAAGAAAGTGAGGATAATTATGAAATGAATCATGGTTTTTCCCAGAACGACTCATCTTATGAGGAAATTGATGAGACCTCACTTCATGAGACAAGACCACGAAGACCACCACCATGGATATAAAACTATAAAAGTAGGCAAGGTCTCTGCTAGGAAGAAGCCTTAAACATTGCTTATTTGGCATTGTCTAATGACAGTAACCCTATATTTTATGAAGATGCAGTAAAGAATATGAAATGAAGGCAAACCATGAACTCAAAGATTGAGACAATAGAAAGAAATGATACGTGGGAACTTACAGAGTTACTAATCGATAACAAAGTTATTGGGGTAAAGTGCGTTTACCAGACAAAACTCAATGAGAAAAGAGAAGTAGATAAGTATAAAGCGTGACTTGTTGTAAAATGGTATAATACAAAATTTAAAGTAGACTTTGCTGAGGTATTTGCACCGGTGGCTAGGATATAAATATTATTCGAGATATGATTTCGCTTACTACTCAAAAGGGTTGGATGATCTATCAACTAGACATCAAGTCTACTTTTCTAAATGAAGAATTGAATGAAGAAGTTTTTGTCACCCAATCTCCTAACTATGAGAAAACAGGGCATGAATACAAAGTGTACAAACTTAAGAAAGCCTTATATGGTCTTAACAAGCTCTTAGAGCTTGGTACAGCTGTATATAAACTTATTTTTCTAATGTAGGTTTAACGAAGTGTTCTTATTAACATACTTTCTTCATCAAAACAATAGATGGAGGTAAAGTTTAGTTTGTTTGTTTTTACGTTGATGATCTTATATTTACTAGAAATGATGAAACTATGTTCAAAGATTTCAAACAGTCCATGATAATTGAATTCGAGATGACTAATCTTAGAAAGATAAAGTATTTTCTTGGTATTGAGGTGTTGCAAATACCAAATGATGTTTTCATTGGACAACAAAAATACACACAGGAGGTGCTTTACAGGTTCAAAATGGATCAATGTAATCCTGTGAATAATCCAGTAGCTATTGGGTTTAAACTTAGTAAGGACGAAGATGGAGTAAGGACAAACAATAAACTTTAAAAATAAATAGAACATCATATGTATTTGACTGTTACATGTCCTGATATGACATTCATTATGAGTTTGATCAGTAGAAAAATGGAACGTCCCACTGAGATGCACCTACATGCGGCAAAGAGAATATTGCGGTATGTGAAAGGAGCTATTAGCTTCATGATGTTTTACAAAAAGGGAGGAAATTAAGAGTTTTTGGAATACATCAATAGTGATTACAAAGGTAATCAAGATGATAGATAAAGCACTTCAGAGTATATGTTTTTAATGAGTTTAGGTATTATGTCCTGGTCTTCGAAGAATCATC